TCCCCATTTTAAAGATTCCCGCTTTTAAAGATTCCCCGTTTTAAAGATTCCCGCTTTTAAAGATTCCCCGTTTTAAAGATTCCCGCTTTCAAAGATTCACCATTTTAAAGATTCCCGCTTTTAAAGATTCCCTATTTTAAAGATTCCCCGTTCCCCGTTCCCCGTTCCCCATTACCATTCCCCGATTCCCATTCCCCGATTCCCCGATTCCCCGTTCCCCCTTTTAAAGATAGCCACCCCTCATTTGTGCTTTTTCAAAATTTTCATAATAAAAAAAAAAACATCAAAGACGCCGGTGTGCTTGAATGGGGCTGACCGATTTTTCCAAATTTCGAAAAAACAAAGGAGCCCGCCACCAAAGCTGTCAACGGTTGTCAAAATTGACTCCCAATAACTGAAATGCGACCGTAAATTTTATTTATCAATTTCATTTCCGGTCTTGCAATTTGATTCAATTGGTCTGTAATGACCAGACCCTAGTTTCAAATTTTGGGGGTTTTTTAGCCGGCAAAGATGAAAACATTTCCCAAGTGCGACCCATACCTAATTATCAAAAGCGCATTTTTAATACAACGGAAAACGTAAGTATATAATCCGGTTTTTTTCGGCTCTTGTTTGAAGCGTGAGCGTGACGCATAACAGGACCTTGTCATCTGAAAAAAGCGCTTTTATAGTCTCCTGGAATGTTGACAATCGTAGATGTTTGGGAAAAGGAATGAGGTACAAAATTGACAATTTTGAAAAGTATTAATTACAAGATGGCTTGATATCTCAATGCCCTTCGATCATCGCGGACATCGCAAATAAAAAACCCCATGGTTCAAGCTTTGTTGGCGGGTTGTTGTTACCTGGTCGTAGCGATCGCTGATGGAGGACCAAGTTCGGTACTCCGAGTGTCCGACCAATTCGGGTATTCCAGCTATTTCCATCACGAATGACGAAAACCCAGAGATCATTCAGCAGGTTTTAAATGTAAACTACATTTTAGTGTTTGGTTCGTCCGAATGATTTGTTGTGCTTAAACATAGTTAATGGAGGGAGACTATTATACGGACTCCTACCGTTCGTGACATTTGCACGTTTTTCCGCTCTCTTTTGAATTTCGTCTCTCAACCTTTTTGTTTCACATTTCGTCTCTGAAGAGCAGGTTAGGTGTACCGTAAATCCTCGAATTAGTGCCTCCCCTCAGATAAGCGCCGCCTTCGGAAAAACGCCCCTCATATCGGCCAAAATTTAAAATAAGCGCCTCCCGTCGAATCCCCTCCCCCTCTTTAGAGGAAGGGAACATTAGATGTACAGTTTTGGTCGTGTTCAATCACAAGCAAGTGATCATCGACTCATTCAAGCACTGCACATTGACCGTCGTGGTAGTGAAGATTTTCTGATTCATTGCCTAAAGCCCAACCAACCATCTGCTTAAGAGGTTATATTACATAGTTCTTCAAGAGAGACAGGATCCTCCTGACACTTCTGATCATATTTCACCACGATTTCGGAAATATCTAATAAGTGGCCCCCTCGATTAAGCGCCTATAAGCTAAAATCAAGTTATAAGCGCTTAAAGCTGAAATCAAGGGTGTTTTAAGCAGGTCACATTGTTGCTATGGTAAGCTACTGTGCCACAAAATTGACCTCAACATGGTCACTAATGGTTGGGCAGTTTTTGATACCATGATTTTGGCATCAACCGATAAAGAGTGGTTATAATGATCCATCAAAATCTAAGTCTTGGAAAGTACTGGGAACTCTTTCGAGCCACCTTAAATACTTTTTTTATCCTATATTACGATCATTTTGTGTACCGATGACAGCATTTTTGTTTATTTGTGAAGACTTAGCCGTTTAAGGTAGTCCTTTACATAAGCCAGTGCTGACGATCTCATTATAAAACGTAGATGGAAAAGACTAGATGTTCAACGAAAATTGTGAACAGCTGTCATTGTCTATAAATCACGAAATGGTCTTGTTCCTGATTATCTCCGATCAATGTTCACCAACTGATCTATTTTACACATATATTTATGAATGGCGAAAATAAAACAAACAAACAAAAATTCAATTCAATTGAAACAAAAGGGGTCGTTTGGTTTGCAAAGGCGAAAATGGTTTGTGATATCCAATAGTTTGTGGGATTTGGTGCTCTTCAACCACTACAACCAATAGGCCATTCAAGGGTTACCTTGTCTCTGGTTCAAAGGGAATCCTTGTGCAAAACTTTCAAATGAACATACTTTCACAAGATCCTTCTCCGTGGCAGCACCAACACTATAGAATGTTCTACCATTTGAAATACGAAATAGTTCGTCTGTGTCCGTCTTTAAAAATGGACTCAAAACGTTTCTTTTTAAAAACGCTTTTTTACAATTTGGTTCAGACCGGTGTTTTTAACCACCTGGTGTTTTTAGCTTTTCTCGGATATTGTAAAGTGCCTTAGAACATTAGGATACTGCAGCTATATGAATCTTTTACTATCATCATCAGCAGCAGCAGCAGCCGTAGGAGCATCGTCATCATCATCATCATTATTATTACTATTATTATTAAAGGTTTCGCACAGACAAAAGGCAACTCGGAAATGGCTTATTTTCCTAGCCGTTTCCTTTTCTGAAACAGATAACATCATGTTTCTAAAACGTTTCTAAAATGCCCGTTCTTTTTGTAGACAACGATGAAAAGACTGGAGGCAAAACTAGCTCACTCGCTGTAACTACTGCGGCTCCAGGCCCTACAACCCCTGGTTCTGAAGTGTGGTGGAATGTTCGACTTCCTAAGAACATTGTTCCGGAACATTACGATGTTCGTCTTTACATTGATCTCGAGAATTCAGAGTTCTTTGGAAATGTAGCCATTCGGGTTAATGTGTCATCATCAACTGAGAATGTACTGGTTCATGTCAACAAGATGAATATTACGTCCGCTTCTGTGGAGAAGGCTTCAGGTGGAGGTTAGTAAGACACTTGTTCACTTCTTTGGTTTCTGTAAAAATATGAGATCATTAATTTCTGATAATTAGGGCGTCTTAACCTACCCCAAGTTGTAGATTTGCTCTCTGGTGTCAGTTTATGATCACCGCCCTAGTAGCCCGGACATCAGCAAACCAAAGATCACGATGTAGAGAAGAGGGAAATTGCATTGGTGCACATCATGTTGACAAGAAGAACCGGCCGGCTAAAAACTACTCACAGGAAGGAGATCTTAATCTTGTGTCACTGGAGTAGAGGAAGGAGAAGAAATAATTGCTACACCATGAGAAAGAGCTGTATCAGACGGCATGTTCTGGGAATATGGTCAGGTTAAAAATAACACAAGGCTAAATGCCAGCGAATCATTCACCATGTCAAACGATTCGCGATCCCCGCTATAAGGTGAAAAGAACGTTCGTCAAGGATGCAACTTTTAAAAGTAGAATGGCCCGTGCTGTTGTTACAGCTCTTTTACCCTGATGAAGACTGCTGTAGGCAGCGAAATAAAGGTTTGTTACGAAATTATGTAGTTTGTCTTCATTTGTGATGAAGTGAGGTATTCTTCGGCCTCGCGGGGGATTTTCATGAAAAGAGACTCCAAAATCAGACTCGTATTGTTTTCAAACATAATCTGGGCATAACAAAGCTGCATGTAGCTCTTTATCATCGATGCCGTAGATTTAATCAGATGGCAAAATAAGCCTACCGTCCGAAGTCGAGGTCGTATCATGAGCCCCTGAAGGAGCAGCCGCTGGGATCTTGGCCACTACAATATCCTTGAAGGGTGAAGGGCTGCAAAACACCGCTTCAATGTTTGAGAGTTCCTTTTGTAAGTCGAGCCCTGGGAAAAGATCTGATTCCTCTGACTGGGTGATGGCCAGGGGTTCTTCACAGCCATGCTTAGGGCGGGAAATTACACGCCTGACGATGATCTTGTGGCCCACGACGAAACCCATGTCAGCCAAATCTTGCTCGGTTATATGGCAACGAAGAAGGATTTAGAAGTGATCTGGTTCTGCCCTAGCACGTCCATTACGTCTTCAGGGATGTCGCTAGGACGACAGAATTTGGAAAGTGCACGGTCCGAAAATGATCAACTACCTCTTTTACTGCTTGGTTGAAATCCAATACTATACATAAAAAGCAAAGCAACATCAAAATAGAATGATAATTATTGGAAATCGGTGAGACCATCAACTGCAGCTGATGAAAGTAATAATCTTTAATGACCACCAATCGGGATTAGGAAATTTAAAGACGAGTTACATTTGAAATTGGGAAATCTGTAAAATTAAACTACAGCCAAGTGGTCAAGAGAGCAGCAAATAAATTACGATTTTTAGAAAGATCACGAGGTTTATTTTCACAAATCAATTGTAAAACATGTTTCGATGCGACTCACATCCTCGTCAGTTTGAGAGAAACCGTTTGATAGAGAGGTTTCATTCATTAACAATTCTTCACAGTTCACGAAAAATACGATTGTAATACAATTTTAACACATTTTTAAGTGGAAAAATAATTTTGGCGGGCGAAATGGTGAATGTAACGGGTACTGATATTTGTACATTTAATTTTTCCGTTGTCTTATTTCTTAGCACTGAATCTGCTTTTCTTTGTTTCCAAACTACAAAGATCCACTTGAGATTAAGCGAAAGTTCTGGTTTGAGAAGAATCAGTTCTATGTGATGATCATGGAGTCAGCTTTGGAGAAAGGTCAATATACTATCAAGATGGACTTCAGGGCATGGCTCACAAATGACCTGGCAGGATTGTACAAAAGCAGCTACAAAAGAAAGAATGGGAAAGAAGTGTATGTTACGTATATTAACAATACATTTATAAAACTCCTAGAGCACTTACAGTCTTATTTTCTCTCCTACGCCCGAAAGGGAGAACAGTGGGAGGGTACAAGTAGACTTTGGGTCGAGACAAGGGTAATACTCACAAAGAAAAAAAAATCATTAAATCCTTTCCTTCTGTACCACCTCTATATGATAAACGCTGGTCTGATCTTAGGAGAAAACAGCATTTAATTGCAAGCTGTCGAAGCATAGTGCTTCGGGAAGCTACCAGGTTCATTGGGAGAGACTGGGGGAGATGTTGGCCTTCTTGATGGAAAGCCTTAATTTCTGTACTGTTTGGGCTGCTCTAAGTAGAGTATTCGTTTATAGTTCCTTATATTTTTCAAGATCCTTTAGGCAAAGAGCCCCATTGACCTCAAGCAGAGTTTCTGTTTTTATTTAAATACATTCAACAAATAGGTACGTCAATCTTCATGCACGTCGACTTCGAACAAGGTTACAGAAACTTGCAAAAAGTCGTGGAGAGTGTTCGGCATCATTCTTTCGTGTTAATGAACTTTTCATTGACACTAATAAACAGGTATTTTTTGCTCTTGAATGTCAAAAGTTGAAATTTAGTTAAGTAAAAAATTTCAGAACAGCAATTCGTGATAAAAGGGTAAAGGAAACTGGTTCGAAAAATCGAGGGTAAATTTCTCTTCACTGTTTTGGCCAAGGCAGCATGCACGTTTGTTTTCATTGTACACACATGATGTGAGTACATTTATATGTAAACCCCTCAATGGGATAGATATGGTCAATTGACTAACTAGTTGGAAAATTTTTGGTTGTTATAATTGTTATTTTGCATGCCTACAGGACCATAGCAGCCACACAGTTCCAACCCACAGATGCACGAAGAACGTTTCCTTGTTTTGATGAACCTGCATTGAAAGCAACTTTCACTGTGACTTTGGGACACCATCCTAGCTATATATCTATCTCTAATATGCCTATCGCCCGAACTGAAAAAGAGAATGAGTGGGAGTTGGACCATTTCAAGAAAACCCCAATAATGCCTACTTACTTACTTGCATTTGTGGTGTGTGACTTTAAAGGCAAGACTGAGAAATCCAAACGAGGCACCGAGGTCAGTAATGTTATGTATGTTCATGCATTATTTTACAGGAACTGTGATCATCTTGTCAGCACTACGGGAAACACAGGAATTCGGTAGAATGTTGTGAAGATAAACTATATAAACAAATGAAAATACGGTGGAAAATTAATTAAAACGTTATGAAAAATGGTCTAGCGATGCATTATTAGTAATACGGTGGACAAACTGTTCTGGATCGACGTTTTACGACAAAAATTAAAATAAGCAAAGCGATGCACATAATTTTGTGATTTTTAAAAAGGAAACAACATTTTCCTTTTACAAAACATATTTCGACATTCCTATGTCATCTTCAGAAGCAAATGTTTGACGGTTGTACATTTGAATTTTCACTGTATACATGATTTTTTTATAGAATTACGCCATAAAATTTACGTTAACATTCTAAATATTGGAATACAATGGAAACAAAGGACTGCGCGCGCGCCAACAAAAGTTTAAACAGTATAAAAAATTTAAATAAAATAAACAAAAAATGAAAAGGAATTAAAAAGAAAGAGGCAAACATAAGTGCCTCAGCTGTTGGTTTAGAGTTGGGATTTCCCCCTTAAACCTTAGTAAATTCCACCCATGGAAAGTTATTTTGATATAGTTCTCGTAACGAAGACTTCGTTACGTGCGTTACAGGGTATCTAACGTTACGCGTTACAGCGTATCTAAATTTGCGAAGTGAATCACAAAAGTACAGAAAATTGCGTGATTTCTGAGAAAAAATAGTTATGGTTTACATCGACATCGTGTTTGCGTGTTACGTGTTTGTGGATTTTTTTTGCCTAAATTTGACGAGATGACATGAGGAAGGAGCGATAATCCTGTGATGCTACTACTGAAGGGTCATAAGACCAACCAAGCGAAGTTCTTTCAAGCCGTTATACAAGAAAATGGTTAGCTCGTGGTAGATGAGCCCAAAAACAGGTCTTAAAACGTTTCTAAAAACACAAATAACAGTGTTTGAGGTTCTTGGCCGACAACGGTTTAACACAGCAGTATTTTGTGCAATTGTGACTTCTATGAAGCGCGAGCTAAAGGCAGCCATCTTCAAAACAGGCGGTAGACCAATCTAGAGGCAAGAACAGTTTAAAGACTTCAAAGAAGATATTTGATGTTCTTAAAGCAAATATGCTAGGTTTAAGAACATCAAATTTCCAGTTCAAAAATCATATTGAATTATTCTCAATTGTTTCAGACGAAACCCGTTAAAGCCAAAATAAAATTTGGAAAAGAAAACGGACAAAAACCCACTTAATACAATACAGGTTTATTTTCTATAAGCCCGTTTGTTTACAGAAAATTTTTCACGGACGAGTGCTATCCATCCGGGTATTCCCCTCGGACGTGCACTATGGGTTGATAGTGTCTCTCCGTGGATGAACACTATCGCGTCACGTGATCAATTTAAACCAATAAGAATCGGAGCAAATTTCGTGTTGAACTATAATCTGTGATAGATAGTGAGTAGCGTAGCAGTGTGCCCTTGTTACCAAAATGACGGCCGCTTCTTGGCCTTTTCGAAAAGTCTGTAAAGAGGATTTAGATAAAGTTGTGAATGACTGGTAGATTTATACTAAAACGATTAGATTATTCGCTCTTGATTTCTATGCGTGATAGTTGACTCGGGCTGCGCCCTCGTCAACTATCACGCTACAGAAATCTCGAGTTCATAATCTAATTGTTTCATAGAAACACGATTTTTAACCAATCAGCACGTGTATTTTCTTAGGACTGTTGTCTAATATTTAATACTATCACTATTATTGTACCTAGAAAACCTTATGTGTATATACCTGGACTGAACAGAAGCATCATGCCTCGTTTCCCATTTTGGTCCGGGTATTTTGATTTACGAAGTAAAGAGAAACGTGTTTTAGATTGTGATCTCTTCCAAGCCAAAGTTGACACGTTCCTGACATTTCTAACTGCTGTTCACTGCAGTTAGGCTCATTCTTCAAAGTATATCACAATTCAAGAAGCTTGGAATTTTGGCTATTATCCATTGTCATTTAATGGCTGTCGAAGAAAAAAAGCTATAGACCTTTCATTTTAAACAAGTGAGAAATGCCGGGATTTCATTTTAGCGTTGCATGTTCCAAATCAGTACAGACCTGCTATTGAAGAACTTTTTCAATAGCTTTTTTTTTTTTTGTAGATGACATTTTATGCTCCACCAGACCAAATTGATCAAGTAGATTATGCAAAGGACGTTGGTGTCAGAATGTTAGATTACATGGAGGATTACTTCAGCATCGACTACCCCCTTCCAAAAGCTGGTAAGCATAATTCATCCTATGAGGTGTCCATAGCTTCCTTGCAGCTTCTTTGCTTTGAGTCATTCCGTAGAGCACTCGTGTAGTCAAGACGAGGTAGAGACGAGAAACACTGGCAGTTACACATCATCTGCTAGCCACAGAAATTCTATATTTAATTTATGCCCTCAGTACCTGGGGATGAAATGTCGTAACACACCTTAACTTTGAAATCGAAATATCTTAAATCCGAAACATATAACAGTCAAAGAACTTTTCATTTACAAATGAAACATCCTGGCTGCAGGCGTTCTCCCATGGACAACAGGCATTTAAAATAACTGAATTACTTTTAAAGAACTCTTAACGGCAAGCGACATCCTAAACAGTTTTCCACGTTTTTCTGCGCATAACCAAGATGCCACTTTCTGTCCAGGGACGTCCTGTTTATATTGTGAACTTTAAGACCACTCGCCTTGGGTCTGATCCTAAAACCTCTAACCACGTTAATGTTTTATTTTGCCCATATCTTTTGGAAGAATGTCTACGTCAACCACCTCTATACGGTTATCATTAAAAACCGATGGGCCCTACTCCTCATTCGGTTTTCTTGTCTGTGTTTCTGTAAATTCTTAAACGAAAGCAACAGTTAATCATTTGTCCAGTCGCCATACATATCACCAGAATTCAGCGACTAAAGTTTTTTTTTTCTTAGATGTTTTCAAAGTAAATGTTATTTTAAAGTTATATTTTGAGGAAACTGTTCATCTAATGAACAATTCGGTTGCCTGTTTACTTTACCTATTTACCTTGAATACTTTTCTTACCATTAGAGACTGGAAGGCTTCCTACTTCGTATTGTTTAAAGCTTAAGCGACTAGCCATTTTTTGGTTTGCAGTTACTTCTAGGAATTTCCATTTCCATTTATTTTTATATTCCATCTCATCCCCTATCTGGTTAATCACTTGGATATGTTTTGATGTTTCAATGAGCGACTGGTTGTAACTTGAATTCATTTGCAATTTGGCAGACATGATTGCTATACCTGACTTTGCGGCCGGTGCTATGGAAAACTGGGGACTTATCACGTACCGAGAGACCGCGCTATTGTATGAGCCTGGGGCATCGTCCGAATCTAACAAGAAACGTGTAGCTTCAGTTGTATCCCATGAACTTGCTCATCAGGTAAGCCCTGCCTATAGCTGTGCATTATCGATGCATGACGAACTCGGGAAGTTAATTTGGAGAGCACTCATGAGTACCTCGATAATGTACGCTAGAGAATAGTAATCAATCGTAGAAAGTAACTCGCCCTTACAATTTTTAACCTTAAATGTAACTTTTAGTTAGCAGTGCAATTCAGCGTGTCTCTCAATCAGCTCATGATTATATTCTGCTGCAATTAAAACAGATTGTTTTCGAATGATGTGATATTTCAAAATAATTCAAAAATTGCTGAATCGTTGAATAAATCTTTTTCGTTTGCGTGGTGAATTTAGCAGAGAGTTAATTGGTGAAGTATCAATGAATCGCATGAATAAAAGTATCACATCACTGTTCCTTAATATTAAAGAAAGGAATTCAATTAATATTAAAGACAGGAATTCAAGCAGAACTCTTAACCAGTGGTCCCCCTGGAAAAACAAATCCATTCCGTATGAAGAAATTATGTGAACGATCAATGGTTCAGATGGCTTTTTGCCAGAGGAGCGTTTTAGAATCCTGCCTAGGAGTCGTGACTTACATCAAGTCCCGAGTAGTATGAGAAAAGGAAATAAACATCAAGTTGTTTTTATTTGCTCAATGGATGATTTCAAGGCACGTAGCAATCGTATTTCCAACCAAAACCTTTCGGAAACCGCTCAAAATCCTCCAAGATTCTGCGAAACAATACTTTGGCAACATTCGGTGAAAGTTGTGCCTAGTCATATGAGAAGGAAAGATAGAAAACTGGGAAACATTGCGGCTACTCACCAACTGACGTAGAGATTTGTACCGCCATGTTTCTGCTAAACTCGAATTTGTTTTACTCGAAATGTGATATTCAACGAAAGGGTAACAATTCTAAGCTGTTAAGCGCAGTTATTTTCATTAAAACTCGCGTTTCAAAGGAAAAAAATCGATTATTGAATCCCGAGATGATTTCAGTGTCACTTCGTGAGATTGTTCCGAAAGCTTCCTAAGAGTCACGGACTGTCTTACTTACTTCTGATGACATACTGGTGACTGGCTAAAGCAATAACCACAGAAACGTGTATCTTGATCTTGAACTCCTTTTGGTCAGATAGCAAATTATTGTCCTGTCATTTCACAGGATACTATCATGCGAAATCCCACATGCTATTTGGCAAGCAATAAGGCCTCACTATGGCTTCCAGTCTACTGGGGCACATTTTCTCGATTTTTCTTGATTTTTCTAACATTATATCCTTGAAAGACGGGACATAAATGAATGACTTTTCTAGCAAGGCAAGTCCCTCCAGGTGGAGTCCCTTGAGTGTTAACTCTCCTTAAATAGAATCTTTATTATTATTATTATTATTATTATTATTATTATCATTATCGTTATCGTCATCGTTATCGTTATCGTTATCGTTATTGTTATTGTTAATTAACACGCGAAGACTTATTCCAGCGGTTAATGTCCTTGATCGAAGATAGTCTTCTTGTTACCAAAAGCAGCATAACCCACCACAGTGAAGCCATTAGGGTTGAAGAGAAGCTGAGCCCTACACTCGAAGATTTAGGGGTTTTAACGTGGCTAAGGCTCATACACACCTCCTCAGTGGTCTCTTAAAACAGCAGCGTTATAGCACAGAGGTAAGGTCCAGGACAATAGCATCTTGAAACCTTTTCACTGAGAACCGTCTTAGGCGTATCTGCGTTCATGTCTCGGCCTCATGTTTTGGTATTGGCGGCCATCATTATATTGGGCTGTGTTAAAGCTGCTAAAGTTTACGTCGACGTTGTGGTGTTCTCGTCCCCTTGACGCTGGAGCTAAGCCTTACTACCTTGTTAACCCTTTCACTCCTTGTATTAGCACAAGTGATAAAATTAATTTGTAGATCCTAAGAAATAAATGTGAGTATGTGAAAGTTCGGCCAAAGAGGTTTGATTTGAAAATAGGATTTCGTTGAAATTCAAAAGTTAGTATAATGAATCATCTCATCTTAACCTCGTTGTAGGAGTGAAAGGGCTAACCTAATAAGAAAATGATTGAACTAAGTTTTCTCCAAAGTGGTATTCTGTGTAAAAGAGATAAAAACGATCTGCATAAAATATTCCATTTTCTCTTTTGATAAGGTATCACTTTTCATTTCTTTAGTTGGTCAGGGTATATAAGAACCTTCACGATACACACCTATACCAAGCAGACCGGGGTAACCCCCCCCCCCTCCACCTGCAGGGACGTGCCTTGCTAGAAAAGTCATTCAGTTGTAATGTTATCCCCCTTCTTTCAAGGATGTGCGTCAGTTAATCAAATAAAGACAATTTACCGATCCGTCAGGTGTACCTACTTCCGTGTGTGTTTTGACTGTCAAGGAGCAAAGCCCAGTCTGACAAGGAGAGCTGCATGACACTGACTCCGTGCCAGCTAAATGACTGGGCTTACTGCTGTACATGGCACTCTGCAATGTCTGAGATTGTCTCACTTGTTTTTATACCGATAAACAATTGCATTTAATTTGCTTAAAAAGATCTAAGGAATAAAATAAAAAAAATTAAGGCAACATGTATGACGTTTCGACAACTTCGTGTCATCATTGTCAAATGAATCAATTAAAAATAACGACAAGGCATATTTATAGAAACTAGCAGTAATCGTAGATTAAAGAGTATGTTCGAGTTTTGGTAGGTTTGGTATGTTAAAAAAGCAAACATTCTAGGAACAGCATTTTGTGCCTGAGCTGTTAGGTAGGCGTGAAATTGGCCTTCCTCCAGCAGGAGCGAACACAAATGCATGCGAGAGGGTTTGTTCTCGTTTATACATTTATTACCTAATGTTAGTTACGCCGATCAGTAAAAAACACTGATTGTTTGGTAGACCGCATTTAGTCCGCAGTCCGCGTTTACCTGAGTCCGTTTTTTATACCCAGTCCGTAGTCCGCAGTCCGCAGTCCGCACTCCACGTTTTATACTGACCGTGTAAATCGACACAAACGATGACTGTTTCGTCGGTGAGCGAGACGACGTGCTTTTATTACCAAAACTAGGACAATTATTTTGTTTACGAACACGACTTTGCTTTGGGTTTCCGAAACAACGAAATGGAGGACATGTTGGTGTACCAAAGCAATCCTGTGGGAGTTGAACTCTTTTCCTATGTAAACACTTTCGTTGGGTTTATGTTACATAATTTGCGCTGAAAAATCTAGGCCAGCGAAGTGAAACTACACATTTTCTCGTTTGATTTATTCAGTGGAAAGCAGCGTTGGTCGAAGAGAAGAGGGTACACAACAAGCAGCCAAACCACAGCTTTCTGTTCGCACGGAAAGTCGTACACATTTCGTGAACACATGTCTGCAAGGTTTTTAAATGCCATTAACACTGACTTCGAACTTTAAATAAACCACTTATCCGCTACAGTCCACAATAAGCTGCCTCGATACTCGAAAGTCCGTAATATTGCAACACACTCGAAAGAAAGCACACGGGCGAACATGGAGATGACGTCATTCGCCCCTGAAGAATTTTTTTTNGGGGGGGGGGGGTGCTAAATCGGCGTCCATAGAAATAAACATACACAAAAACTCGAATTTTTCTGCATTACCTGATTAGGACTGAGTTCTCTCAAACGCAATTAGGATGTGAGGAAATAAATTTGCGAAGGTGACATGAAAGCAACAGGTAAAACGTTTCGTGCGAATGAAATCCGCTTGCGTGTTCGATGTCGGTCTTTTGTTCTTAATCCACAGCTTTTCAAAGATAAAACATTCGAGTTTGCCTCAGCATCTCCTTATGACTATAAAGTTCTTAATTAACCCTTTGAATACCAAACTTTAGCCAAAAAATACCGTTTTTAACCGTTTAGTCAGACTTTTTAGCTGCCATGACGCTAAATAAGCCTAAGTTTTGCTAAGAAAGCTTTTTTTTTACTAAAAGGAGAGATTTTTCGAAGATTAGACACAAAATTGAGCAAAATTTCAATTCCGGGCATGCCCATAAGCCAATTTTTTTTTCTTTTCTTTTTTTGCCATTAACCGTTCTCAATTTTGTTTGTTGCCCTCTTTCCTTTCTGTTTTTCTCGGCCCTTTTACACTGCCTACCTTTTGCGTTGTATGTTTTTTCTGGCTGCCATGAAAAGTTGGATGTTAATTACGGGCGAAGCCTAAAAATGGACCTTGATCAATCACAGGCGTAGTGGACCATTTTACCACCGTTTTTGCACCAAAACTGATAACGTTGTTTTTCGATTTGCGACGTAGGAATGTCGTCGATATCTAAACCTGACCATTGTGCGGAAAGGCCTAGCCTAGTACTACTATCTGCTCATCAATAATATCTGATGACATTTAAATTGACATCACAAGTGGTACAAAGAGCACGACCATTAAGTGGCCGTATATAGCCACTTGGGCGTCAAAGGGTTAAGTTGTCGGGTGTTAAGCCGTGTTCGGCCTTGAAACGTTTTCAAAAGAATTTTTAACGACAAGCGACAGTCATTTTTTCAGAGACGAGCATGGAATAGCAATGACCGTGTTAGTGTATGGATACCTGATCTAAATTACCACATAGTTTTACGATTTAATTGCTCTGTTTTCTCCTAAGTTTTAGTCTCGATTGAGAAGATATTAAAAGCACTTTTTATAACCCATTTTTCTTTTTTTCAGTGGTTTGGTAATCTAGTTACCATGGCTTGGTGGGATGACCTGTGGCTTAACGAAGGATTTGCCAGTTTTGTAGAGTACTATGGAGTCAATGCGACAGAACCTGACTGGAAAATGGTAATTAATTGCTGTGCGTGTCTTAGTGCTCCACAGATAGATGAACCGCCATCAAAGCTCTAATACATATTTTTCTAAATTTTACCAACAAACCGTTAGACAAAGCTACCCTAGGTGTAATAACTAGTAGTATATTGAGGTGACGCAAGCCAGCCACCTTGAGGACGTTCGCGTTAATTGTTTTATCCTTTCTGCGCACGCAAATTCACATGCCACGCCATGCGTCGATGCGCGCCAAGTAATAAAATGAGCAATGATAGGGCAAGTGGCCATTGCTATAGCTTTGGCTGGATTTAACGATCTTGGACGTTCGGTGACCCCTATTTTTCTTTTGATGGATCATTTTCTCTACCAATTTTCTACGTTTAGCGAAGAAATGAAGAAAATCTATCGACTAGAAGTTTGATTTTTTTGCAAAACGCACCATCAAATTCCGTTCTTTTTAGCTCTACGTTAATCTGTGCGACGGTGTCAAATGCCTCTTGAGAGGTTAAGGTCACTGTCGACCTTCAAAGGCCTGTTTTGTAAAAAACTATTTTTTACACCGAATTCAAGACTTCTACTTTACCTGAATATTCAAAAAATATTATTTGGCCACTGTTCTCATCCGCGGAGAAAAAGAAAGAAAAAAGAAAGAAAAAAATTTTCCATGGCTTCTTTTGCATATCGCTTACGTCTTGCAATTTCTCGCAGAGAAATCTTCGCTTTTGTTGATTGTTTTCGTCCCTTGTTAGGTGATAGACTAAGCGATTTTGCACGGTCTTCGAGTTTCCACATTTGAACGCAAGCGTAAATCGCAAGCGAATGTTTGTCGATGCCCTGCTCTAGCTTCTTCTGGCACAGAAGTTGATTGCCGGCGAATTTAATCACTGATATCGGGCAAGGTAGCTTCTCCAAACGCTCCTATCCTCTGCTGCGAAGAGTGTTTTTCCATATTTTTCCGATGAATTACGCGTTTAGTTTAAAAAAAAGAAATGTGTAAATATCCGCATACACAAAGGCTGGTAATTCAGTTGAGCATGTACGGTAATTTTTGCGTTTTTAGGCTTGCGCATGCCTATCAAAACAAAAATAGCAAAGTATATTTTATTTTCGGATTTACAGTTTATTAGCTTTACAGTGATATATAGTTTACCGTGGTTTTCTCTAAAGCAGCGCGTAAAAAAAGCATTTTCCGGGAGGTACCCCTGAAGGTCTACAGTGACCTTAAGTTTTGTGAAAAAGTTGGTAACATTTGAAATTATTTACCAACAGACCTACTTCTACTAAATACGACTAAGATCTTTCGTCTCCGTTGACTCACCCTCGATATTTTTAACTATAAACCCCTGTAGACTATGCTGAATAACGTGCGCCAATTTTTCAAAATCAGGGTAGTTTTCCACACGCTTTATCTCTGAAACGAAGTTGGTGACCCCCATTTTTTTAAGTAACTCATTAACTGACTGCAAAAAACCTATCGACAAGAAATTTTCGCGCGAATATCCTTAAATGAGGCGCCATTATTTCCTCTCGAATTCGTAAAGCCAACATGTTTTAATCACCTAAGCATTGTGATCTATTGCTAGTCGAATACGTAAAGTTCTACCAAGAATTATTAACTGCGACCAAATCGGCTTTATGAAAAGAACGATTTATTGGAGAGAACATTAGGCTATTGGATAGTATTATAAATTACACAAATACCGAACAAATTCCTGGCCTTTTATGAAATGTGTCTAAATAAAGTACTTACTTACTTACTCACTCACTCACTCACTCACTCACTCACTCACTCACTCACTCACTCACTTACTTACTTACTTACTTATTTGTCGACTTCGAGAAAGCCTTTGATAGTGTAGAGTGGATCGGAATTTTATCGAGAAGACCCTAAAATATTACAACTTTGGACCATCCTTGATTCCGTGGATGAAATTATTCTACACTGATAATAGCAGCTGTATCCAAAACAACGGCTGGGCCTCGGTGTTCTTCACATTAAGTCGTGGTTTAAGACAGGGCTGTCCGCTTTCCCCATATTTGTTCATTCTATGCGGAGAAATGTTAGTTAGCCCAGTAAGAAATGGCAAAGAGGTTCATGGAATCATGATCTTGGGAACCCGGTGCAAAATTTCGCTATACGCAGATGACACGACAATGATCTTAGGTGGCTCACAATCCTCATTTCAAGAACTCTATACTTGTTTGACGCATTTGGCTCTATGTCCGGCTTGAAAGTTAATTATGATAACACGGAAGCCCTCTGGATCGGCTCATTCAAATAGGCTAAAGGAAAAGGTTACGCCTTAGGAGTCTGGTTTTCGACTTAAGAAGAGGACGCTTTTTACGTTAACTTTTCCGAAAAAATCGAGAGAATAAAAAACATCCTAAACAGCTGGTCTGCTAGAAAATTAACTCTTGTAGGTAAAATCGCGATCACAAAATCTTAAGCCGTATCTCAAATTGTGCATGTTCTATCCTCTCTCTCAGCGCATCAGGGTGCGCTTAAAGAAATTAATACCCTATTGTATGATTTTCTCTGGAATAGTAAAGGGGACAAATCAAAATCAAAAGGACAGAAATTATCAATGATTATGATAAAGGAGGACTCAAGATGATAGATACCCAAAGTTTTAGTAAATCTCTGAAAAGGAAGTGGTATGAAGTTACTTAAATGACGACAATCCTGGTAAATGGAAGCTTTTCGTAGAATTCCACCTCCAGAAGTACGGAGGAAAAATATTGTTTTTAAGTTACCTTAAACCGCGGGATGTTCCTCAGCTTAATCTAAGAGATCCTTTCTTAACAGAAATTATAGAACACTGGACTATTTTGAACCACAGAGAGAAAAACCTTGATTTCACATCCATGGATATGTGGCACATCTCACTGATTAAAATAGATAACCGACCTTTCTTCTATACATCTTGGCTTAATGTAGGGGCAAAAGAGGTTAGAGATCTACTTAATCAAGATCAGACCTTCTTAAGCTGTAATGCATTTGTCGCTAAGCATAACATTAAAACCAACCTGTCTTGAGTATTTTAATGTAACTGCAGCCTTAAAACAATTCAGGAAAGTATGCTCACCTGCCTTAGATAACCCATCTACAAATAACACAGCGAGCCAGCTGTCATACTCAAATATTAACAAAGAATCTTACAGACGCCTTTTGCAAGACAAAGCCTCCACACTATTAGAGAACCAAGTAAAATGGCCTTCTGAAGGGGACATAGTAGGAAATTCCGCCGTTAATTGGCGTAACTCTCACTATGTGCCATACCTCTGTACAAGAGAAACAAAGCTCAAAGTATTCCAGTTTACGTTTCTGCATAGACGAATAGCGACAGATGATTTTCTCTGCAAGATAGGAATAAAACAAGTGGACTCTTGTTCCTTCTGCGGGGAAACTACTGAAACTTTGGTCCATCTGTTTTGGAACTGCAAACATACCCAAGCACTTTGGAAAAAATTACTTGAACGGATTTCCAAAAAATTTGAAACTCTTGAATACTTTTTTTCTCTCCCTCTTTCTGCCTAGGTTAAGTTGAAAATGTATCGAAAGCACTTCTACACCACCTGCTCCTTATTGCTAGACATTACATATACACCTGTAAATTAAAGAACTCCATACCTAAGCTCAATATATATATACGTATACAACTTCTGTTAACCTCCGTGAAAATTGAAAAGAAAATAGCTCTAGATAACACCACCCTTAACTCTGCTAAAAGGAATTTTACTACCTTAAAAAAGTGAAAGAACAAGTTTGAATGTCTCATTTATGAAATGTTTTTTATTAATAATCTGAGACCAAGTCTCAATGTACAGGCAGACTCAATTCATGGGAAGGTTTTTAATCACTTTTAATTATGTTATTCTTGCATACATTTTATTGTTCTTACCACCCTTTTTTACATTTTCATACTTTACATACTTTTACTTCTTTGTTTTATATTTATACTTATGCAAAAAAAATTTATCTTCACTTTTAAGCTTGATAATGACCGAAGTTGGGTCGAAACGTCGCGCGCTTTTACAATTAGTTTTTACTTCAAATTGACATAAATTTTTATAGCTTTTATATGCCTTGATATTTTAACGATGTCTTATTTCTAGTCTAGATGCACGACCCCACCAGCTCTGCTGATTATTCCATCGTGTTAAAATAAAGTTGCTCAGTTCGGTTAAATTAAAACACTTTAGAATCGTATAAACTTTAAACGGTGTTGAAAGCTTCACATATCATGTTTTACTTCACGTAACATCTGTCTTTCCTCAGCTGGACGGATTTGTGGTGGCTGATATGGTGTCAGCATTTACTCTTGACGGCTTAGCAAACTCCCATCCAATTAAAGTTCCTGTAAATCATCCAGATGAAATCAATGAAATATTTGACTCCATTTCATACAACAAGGTACGTTTTTGTCTCGCCCCATCTTTTATTGTTGCTCCAGATTAGGTAAGTATTTACATTTGCAGGAGTCACAGCGTTTCCAGAGAGTGATTAATGAAAATTGCTTACCTTTTTATCTCAGTCCGGAAGATAATTTGCCCAATAAATTGGCTCCATACAAATCGAGTTCGAGACGCTCGACTCTCTTAGACTCAACTGTTGTTTAATTATCACGTTTATTCAATTCATAACTTTTTAGCCGTCCACGATAGAAAAACTGACATGTTAAATTGTACGTGTTCCTCTACAAAACAAGTTGTTAATGTTCAAAGCCCGTAAGGTGGGGATTCGCCCTCCCGTTTAGATATGAGTTAAAATGTGCTTTTATTCAACGTGCGTGTTATATGGGATACACGTAAACCGTCAAGTCATCCCTCCGTGCTGCTTTTACATTATTTGAAAATAAACGTTTTTTATCTTTGCAGGGAGCATCAATCATTCGTATGCTTCAGTTTTATCTTGGAAGAAAAGTCTTTTTGCAAGGCTTAACAGTAAGTATGACAAGTCTATTTTTGGGAGTTGGTGAAGGACTGTGGACTAAATGCGGCTTACCGACTGCAGTCCGTGTTTTATTTTGACCGGTCGTAACTAATATTACGTAATACATGTATAAACAAATCCTCTCTTATGCACGTGCCTTTTGATCAATTCATTTGTTTTCGCCCCTGCTAGAGGGAGGCCAATTTCACGTCTACCTAACAGCTCAGGCATAAAATGCTGTTCCTATATTTTTTTTGTTTTATTAACATACCAAACCTACCAAAACTTGAACGCACTCTTTAATCAATGATTACTACCGTAGTCGTGGCTTGTATAGATTTGCAATTATGGTTTGTTTCCTCGCTTTCAGGAGATAATACTGCTGTTGCTGCTTTATAAAAAAATAAATCTTACAGCTTCCAGTTGCACGAGTACAAACCGTAAGAAATCTCGCAGATAAGCACAGAGTTCACGATAAATCTGACAAAATCATCTTTAATGGTGCCCACATACTTTCGAACGACTGAACGCAAGGGCTCAGGCGAAATTTCACCGAAGCAAGAGATAAACTCGAACTGTTGCAGTGTTCAGCGACTGGCTGACTACTGAGATTTTGTTATTTGCAGATCACCCATATTCAAAATTGTTGTCACGCTATTGTAAGAATTCGCTACAGCTATTTATCCTCTGGTTTGGGAAAATACATTTTGAAAATGAAGTGTATTGGAAAGAACACAAGAAAGCGCTAAAAAAACTTTGGAGCCAGACGTTTCCCTTACCACAAGGCTAAAGCTTCTCCTGAGACTGTCATGCTGTAAGCGTGTAATACGAATAGTACTTAATAAGTGATAAATACAATATTCGTGTCCTATCTGCCTAGGAAGAATATATAATTTTCGTTTTCAGGTTTTGATGTAACTCCAGTAATGCAATCAAGTAGTCCCGCTGGTGATTTCGTTTGAAAATAATAGAACTATATTATTTATCGGGGGTTACAGAGCTGAGTGGTGTATTTTTATTGGATCCGTTCCTTTTTAGTTGTTAACGAATTTTGTGCGATAAGTGATATCAAAAGGTATGGGCGTTGTCTCTTCATCGTGTCTTACTATTTATTGACTTGGTTGCTTATTTTCATATGTCTTTTAGAATTACCTGAACAAATATCGGTATGGAAATACAGTGACTGATGACTTGTGGAATGCTCTTGAACAGGCAAGCTTTTAATTATTGAATGGGTTACCGGTTGCTGAACAAACTTTCAGTTGAACCAATAGAATTCATCAGGACAAGACATGTTAAGCAAAATTCATGAATTCTAAGGAGCTCGGTGAAACGTAACCGTTTTCCAAGGGGAACCTTTATTTATTTATTTTATTTATTTATTTATTTACTCTTTCATTTACGGACAACAAAACACTGCTGAGGCTATTTGTAATACAAAATAGTAAAAACTAATAAAAGACAATTAGGTTTCTAGCATTACTTACAATATTGTCATTACACTTTTTACAAATGCTAATACAATTCTGATTAGTACACAATAGTTTACAATGTTTTTTGACACCTTTTTATAGCTCAAAATACAACATAATTTACAAGCACAATACTTTAATACTAAAACTAACGCACTCTAACTAGTAACACTGAAAATTGACGCTAATATCATTACATTACATTACATTACATTACATTACATTACATTACATTACATTACATTACATTACATTACATTACATTACATTACATTACATTACATTACTGAAGTTTACAGGATTCACAATACGGAACAAACTATATTTTACATGTAGTACAGAAACTCGGAAAAATATAAACATGACACCAAATGCAGAGAGTGGTCCACTTAGCTTTGCATTTCTGCAGATAGAGTTTTTTAATTAACTTACTCTACCCTAACCCATTTGTCTTTCACATTTGATTGTACTTTCCAGTTAGGCAAGAAAGACCTTTAAGCTCGGAGTGTCTGACTGATTTCTTGCAACATGTTTATGATACTTACCAATAAGAATTTAATGATTTAATGCGTAAAATCGTTCTATAAATTCATTTGTCAGTACTACCACTAGCAACCTTTGTTTGGGAAAAGGGTAAAAAGGCCCCTTGGGGTTATTTTTAGGTCTGGGAATGAGCATAAAGGCTCTTTGGGGTTAGTTTCAGGTTTGGGAAAAGGGCAAAAAGGTTCCTTGGGGTTAGTTTTAGGTTTGGGAAAAGGGTAAAATTACCTAACCCTACCCCTAGCCCATTTGTCTTTTATATTTGATAGTACTTTCCAGTAAGGTAAGAAAAACCTTTAAGCTCGGAGTGTCTGACTGATTTCTTGCAACATGTATATGATGCGTACCAAAAAGAAGTTAATGATTTAATACGTAAAAGCCGGTAAAATTTCAGCGTGATTGGGATTAATATTGTCGGAACGCTTGGTGTTCCACCGCATCATAACTTCTTTTCAAAAGACTTCAACTTCATGGCACTCAAGAAACGTATGAACAAGGGGTTCATTTTGGAAGAGACAGTTTTCGCATTATATTGCGGTTCTTCTTGTATCTTCATTTTATTGAGGGAGTTATTGGTGGGTGTGAGGTTATGTATAATTTTAAAGTGAAAGCGTCTCAATTTATTCTCAACGATGACTGTAAAAGGAAGTTCATTGATAGCCTTCACTTTTGAAACTTGTTTTCTAAGATTGATTTCAACAATGGGAGGGGGGAAGTAGCATCAAAGGAGCTGTATAGGACGGTATCGCTATTTTAAAGAGACTTGAAGGGTTCACTAGCTACCACGCTGCACAATGTTACCAAGGATCGCTCTTCCAATCTTTAGGAGTTGCCGTAAAAACACTAGCGTAATCGAGAAAAGTACAGCGAACTCTGAATTTACATTTGAAATTTTCCAACGAAAGGAACTGACGATAGGTGTCAAGTAGGTCCCTAACTTTCAAAATGCCTTTATTAACCCATGTTTTGTAATAAATTGTCTTTGCATGGTCAACTTGTTGCGCATTTGTGGAAGCTCCCATTTTGGGAATTGTTTCGCAAGACGTTGGACGCATAACAACTCAGGACCCTGTTCTCACTTAAAGGTCTTTTTTCCCAGCTTGTTGAAAAACAACTAAACATCCTCTAAACTTGTATTGTTTTGTTTATTTGAAGGAGAGTTGTGCTCAAGGTAGTTGTAAACGCGTCAAGCAAATGATGGATACCTGGACTCTTCAAATGGGCTACCCAGTGTTGAATATCAAAAACAAAGGGAATAACAAATATGAGGTGTTTCAGGAGAGGTTTCTTTATGACCGAGATGCCAATGTTACTACAAAATATAAGAGCGAATTCAAGTAAGAACATTTATTACAGCAAAAATGGTAATGATAATCTATAATTCTGGCGCGGGTTGTCCAAAGGGTGAATAAATGTTGAAAAACCATACATATTAGACGAATAGCCTAATTCAGCCCTTGTCAAACTCATTAATAATTCATCAAGTTTAACGAAGGAAATCGTGACCATGACCGTGTTGGGATATCTGATCTTAACTAACATAGATTTTTACGATTTCATTTCTCCGTTTTCTCCTTAGTTTTAGTTTCGACTGAGTTGTTGCATCAAACACTCATGACCGTGTTTCACCACATCTTCAAGCAACTCTAAACTTCGCTTCGCGACGTGCTTTCAACCCTCTTCTCGGTGTTTGGAAGTGTGGTCAAACATGGCCTTTCGTGTTTGATGTATTACTTGAACAAATGAACCTAGTATCATAAACAAGGCGACTTTAATCAAGTATTAACTCAACGCCCTCCATGACTTTATGCATTCAAATCTCAAAGAATTGACAATTTTTGTACAGCATCGCTTGAAATGGCGATTAACAAGGCTATTTACTGATTAATAATGAGAAGAAAATTAAGGTCTACGCAAGGCTAAAACCAGTCTCGTGGCTTCTGCTGTTAAAGCGTAACTGTGATTTTGCCGAATAAGACGACAAGCACCTCAAACGAGGGGATTAAAACTCATTCTGTAGAGCACAATTTTAGATAACTCTCATATATTTACCATAATTTAATCTTATTTTACAGCTACAAGTGGGTTGTACCATTTACATATCGCACAGATGATTCCAGCCTTAAATCCAAGCCTTTGAATATGACTTCAGGTGAGAAATCATTTGTCAGCTTAAAACGCCAATTATAATTATGACCAGCATTTTCGGTTTTCTGAGGAAGGGGAGGGTGAGGCGGTTGTCTTAAAGGCGAGTGGCTATATATTTAACTTTTTTTGTTGGGTGGCATATATTTCTCTTTTTTCAATTCAATAAAGGAAAATGACACTCGACAATTTGCATAATACACTGTTGTTGCTACATTTTCACCGAAACAGAACTGAATCAGTAATTCAGCAATTTTAGCTATTATGTGCGGTTACACGAGGCACTTTTACCGTGGTAAAAACTACATTTAGTACGTGTGACGGACATTTCCCGTGGTAAATTGTCCACTGTAAGTACCCAGGGATACGTCAAGACGATCACACGAAGCGCCCATGACATTTAACGTGGCAGGATTTTGGGCAATGTTGTGAGTATCTTGTGTATTTCAGGTAGCCTCTCAACCTGCTTGTTAGACCGGTTATTTTAGCAACGGCTAAAACTGAAAATCCTTCGAAGAAATTCGAAAATGGATACTAAACTGCTGTTCAATGGATTTCGCGTTAGCTGAAACGAGACCCGAGAATTACTAATGGAAGTAGAACGAAGATCAACCTGGATCGTCCAGCTTTGTACTCTATTCTGCATATCAGAATTTCACCCTAATATGCTCCCTCTGAAAGTTCGCCAAATTTAAGCTGTTCTAGCTCTGAGGGCATTGTAAATAAACTGAGATGCGTGACACTTTTTTTAATCTTGGCAAACTGCCCAAATCGCGTGTAGCTGCTGGTTAACACGGGAAACTAAAACCCAAGTGAGATTCACCGCGTGAAAATTTACCATGGGAAATGCATTTAGCTTGGTGTTTGTAACCGCACCTATTGTTTGGTGTTTCCTCTATTTTCATTTTTGGGCCAAAACCGGTAATTTTATTTGTTATGGCCTTGCTGCGTACGCATGTACGGACGGACGTATGACCATTACGTGACAACCAAATTTTTAGCTCGATGGATTCCCAAATTCTGTGAGGTAGGGTGCTCCGATTGTGCGCCTTCGACTCCCAGGAGCTCCGTTATAAGTAGAGAAGTCTGCATTCAAAAATGCAGAGCCAATTCGAATTTAATCAGCCGTTTCGAGTTCATTCAGACGCCGTATTTCACATGAACTTCATTCATTGAATTCGATTCGGCTCATGTGAAGTACGGCGTCTGAACCGTGCCTCAGTATATTTTTATGAAGGGATTCTTCCTTAAAATCTTTTTCGTAAAATTCGTTTTGTCAAGAGGTTCTTTGGGTTTAATTCTTCCAGCCTACCAGTTAGCACTTATAAACGTCAATTAGAATTTTGAGGTACTCTGATTTTGGATCGTAATTACATTGGAACAAGAAATCTCGTCCACCTTTGGTTAACTTGGAATCAAGGAGGGTGCACCCATAGGTGTCAGGAGTTTGTGAGCGCTCTTTACCCTGTCTATCAAGTCGATCATCAATGATTTAAGTCGCCGGCGAATGTGACTAGCCACTTCTTTAATTTTAACTGGCATGGTGTTCTGAATAAAGGAGAACAAATTGCTATTATTTAATTGCACTTGGCTGCTTCTTTGAGAATAGGGTTGGTTTAATGGCCTGGGGAAAGGGATGGCAGCCAGCGAGTTAGGTTTCTACCCTCAGTCAAGGCTAGATATCAAAACTAGTTTCCTTTTATCCACCTGTGTTTTTCAGTTGAGGTTGACTGGGATGGTACAGGCTGGATCAAAGGTAACGTAGGTCAAACAGGATTTTACAGAGTCAATTATGAACAACTGCAGTGGGATCAGCTGATAAACCAACTGGACAAAAACCACATGGTTAGTAAACTTGACTTTACCGAGCTTATTGATGTTCTTGTTTGTGTTTCATATATCTCATGAACACCCTTGTTGACACTTTAAGCATCCCCTTATATTTACACTTACATGCAACGCTCTTCTCTGACAACTCGTCAACAGCAGTCCTCAGCATCGAATCTGGTGGGAAAAATGCGCAACGTAGATTGTGGTATATTTGATTGATCTGCATTAAGACATAAGAATAAAACATGTATAAATTTCGCTACTGGTTATATTGCGGATTTTTGGGAATTAGATCTTTGCACTGTAAGGGCTTTCAGTCAGTCCATTTGTTATCATAGTTTAGCTGCTGTATGTACGCGTGAGGCCAGGAGTAACGTCTTGTACTGTGTTGGTTCTATTATTCTCTTAAAGGGTATATAGCCATTAATGTGAGAAATTAGATACGAGTGTTGCCACTTGCATGTTGATGTTGTTTTAAAATATTTTATAGAAACTTCACCTAACCGATCGTGCAGGATTGATAGATGATGCTTTTAATCTTGCCAGGTAAATAATTTACCAGAATTATCAGTTATTGACAATAGCATTATGTCTATGTAGGTATTGAAAACCGGAAAATAGCCATTAATAGTATTCAGTTCCGGTATGCTAATTTTTGTTTAAGTTCTATTAATGTGACATCCTGGATACGGTTTATTTACTGTGCGTGCCATTCTCGACCCCAGACCTTCGCTTTTGGATTAAGCATGACACGAAGTTCTGAGGAACTTTAATCGAACGTAGCCAAATTCTGGCTACATTGGCCACACAGCACATGCTTTGTTGAAAACCAAATAAGTGCTGCTGGATTTACTATGAACTCTCTTTTGATCAACCTTTTTTTTTTCTACATTATGAATTGATGCTGTCAAATTTATTTAATTTTCAAAATTGTTAAAACATTCTTCGACATTCGTGATAATCAGTTCATGCGCATGGAGGGCCAAAAAGCTAGCCTGCATGCAGACGTTCTTTCGTGGAGTAGAAGGCTAAGAGCGTAAGTCAATTCTTTCATTCCTAGAGAACAATATGAAATCAGATTTAAGAAATAGAATTGGTTTTACTTTTCCTATATTCTTCAAAAGTTTGATCAGTCAAAAAGACTTTTTTCATTAAAACCGCGCTTATCCAAGATAATCTCTTTTCTGCTTAGCGACTATTCAAAGTGTGAATACAAATTGCTGTCCAAAACACAGAAAAGCAATTTCTACTTCACCTACATGATCTCATTTCCCAGGCAGGAAAATTACGTAATAAAGATAAAGTGTATTTTATTCTGAAATGAAGTTACCCTGCTAAAAGGGGTTTCTACCTGTAAGCTCAATAATGGGTCAAATTTGGCACAGGTCCCATTTTGTGATGTCATCCTCTAAAACTAAAACTTCCGACAGGGGCAATTACGTCGTCCCACGGTAAGAAAAATTATGTAATCAACGCCCTAACATCCCTATGCACACCACCCTGGGAATGACATTACCCCGCAGGTGAGTACGGCGCCATGAGTGCCCCTACGCCCTAACGCATGCGCTGTCTGTTTCCTACTACTCTTGATGGGTATGTTATGCTCTCAAACTTCGTTACATAAAAAATGACGAAATAAAATGAAGTTACCTTGTATTCCTTTTGTCATCGACGATGAAATCTGTTGGGCTTAATTCAACACAATTAAGTAATTAATCGTAATTATTTATATACCATACGTGACGGTGCCTTTCGTTATTTTCGGTTTTTCGTTATCAATTATAAAGCAGAGCAAGATAACTTTTGGCAGACATAATTGTAAATTAAATAACCTCCGTGCGCAGTATTGCTGCGTGACCAACCCCAATAAAATTTACCCTCTCCCTCGATATAACTACTCTTGACAATTTCTGCATTACAGATCCTACATACATACAATGTACATCCTAGCAGTGTACTTTCAGCATTATGTCACAAATAAACCTACTTCGCCACCACTGCCCTGTAACATGACAGTTATAACATTCAACCAACGTTAGGGAAGTCATGGGTTCGTTTCCCGTGGGTGACGTTCTAGTTCTAGTGTCAGGAGGAGCATAATTTATTTAAAACTGCCCTAACTGATGATTTGAAGATAAACGTTTCAACCTGCTGGACTGCAGAGCGTTTATACTCCCGCCGGACAATTTTTCTTTTAACAATCATCTCGCGCTAACGTGTCCAGGAACGGGTTTATCGAAGTGGTGTGGCTGAAAGTATTGCTGGTTAGCTTTTCTGCTTTAACTGTGGGTGTTGTTTATTGTCCTTTTAGTCTTTAAATCTTAGGACAACTTGTGGGTTGCAAATAATTAACACCTGGTACAATTTTTGTCTTCTAGGGGTGGATACCTCAAGTACACTGTTCCCCTAAACATCACAAAGTACCTAGCGAGGGAGGATGAATATGTACCTTGGGCAGCAGTTAATAACAACTTGGATTTTATAACCACTATCGTGCCCCGGTCTGGCTCCGCGGCTAAGTATTTAGAGGTTTGTGCAGGAAGTTTCAATTTGATACACTTAGCGCATATAGAGGACCCATATACAATAAATATAATTAATTAATCGCGCAGATAAGATATAACATAACTAGAAATAAATAAGCGATTACACAGGCAAGATATGCAACAAATAGATTTCAATAATTACACAAATAAGATATTTCGCTAAATTTTGTGTCAAAAATAAGATATAATAAATAAAATAACTTGGCACTTTTCTTGACTATCTTGCTTGGGTCGTGGGTCGTGCGTGAAGATAATACNTTCGCCTTCGGCGAACAATTATTAAATGTAAATACATAAATGAGTGAATAGGTGAATAGCAAGTTCTTTATTTAGTATATATTGAATAAATATGATGATGATGACGACGACGACGATGATGACGATGATGATGATGATGGTGATGATGATGATGATGATGATGATATAATATAACTGGATGTTTGTTACTTACACGTTTTTTATACGTTTCTTGACTAACAAAGCTGTGGATCTTGGTTCTCAGATATGTGTTGGTATTTAGGAGTAGAGCGGAAAACACATCAAAACAGCTTGCCAGGAAGGCGAAGATACTACTTTTAGAGTTGAATAACTTGTAACAATTAATTATTCGATTTGTTCGATAGTTTTTACCTCGCCCAAGACGGAGTGTTTAAGATTTCAATTGTGTGGTTATTATTTATTTTGTAGAAATATTTTTATCACCAAGCCAAGAACCTGTACAACAAACTTGGTTTTACAGACACTGGAGGCCATCTTGAAAAGTAAATTAACGTTTGCTTGTTTTTTAGATGTATTGGTTTTTCTCCCTGCAACGGAACATACAGAAAGAAAAACTTTCCGGCTGCATAATATCGCCGACAAATCGAGCGATCTGGCGAGACTGCCATACGGTATCTGAAAATGCAGATCCTTTAAAAAGTTCTTTCCTCTTTTCAGCCGCGAAAATCTCATCTCTGCAGTGTCAGAAATGTTAAGTGCGCTGCGGTGCAGTTCATAAGCTAAATGTCTGCACAAAGACTTTCGTCTGTATTAAAAATATAGGATACAACACGTCCAAAAGTGCTTCCTTGCTTCAAGTTGCGTATATGTCAATAGAAAAGCAGATAGGTCTGGCTCAATTGTTTTTACGAGAACCAAGCATTGGTTCGAACTTCAAGGACTTTATGAAGGAAAGTTATGAAGAGCTCGAAAAATCGGAAGTAAACTGAAAGTGTTTGAGTAAACCAATTACAAGGAATACAACTTTTGTTTCGAGTTAACAGGAGGTGCGAGAAATTGAAGAATGCTCAGAATAGTCACTTAAGGTCTTCTTCAGTTAACACATTTCACTTATCTTGCAGATACAAGAGAGGTTTAGTCCTCCGTATAATGTGCAGTGCTGGTGAAGCCTCGTGCCTGAGAAACGCATCAAAATATTTTAAAGACTGGATGAACGATCCCGAAAAGAACGCGTAAGTCCGAGCGGCAATATGGCGTTCATCACTTTCAGGACGGCGGTAACTTAAGCTAGAAAGACCATAGACACCCGGAAAGCATTCTGAGTATTATTTTACCCTTCACAGGCCAGGCTTTTTCATTTTCTACGGTGGGAAGATAGAGGTTATGTACATGTAATACGTTAAATAATGTAACTATCCTTTGGTAAAAGCAAAACGGGACGATAACTCCACATTACGTGATAACTACGATAGCCACAAAAGGCACCAAAAAAGAGCTCAAAAGTAATCAAAGCAATAAAAAAACATTTAAAAGTCCTAAAAATGTAAAACTTACTGCAAACGGAAACACGTGCCCGTCAAAATATGATTACCATGGAAACATCAATTTCCGAGAACAATGATGTGTCCCAAGTTCTTGCCATAAAATGTTAGGTAAAGTTTCCATGTTTAACAGCTTTTGCAAATATTTTAAATTGAAAATGGTTTGACTTTTAAAGTCAGCGGGCACTTTTTGCGCCCCCAACCCCCTCCCTTCCGCTCTTAACAGGGTTAAACCATATTTGAACTGCGGTCTAACATGCTCATTTAAGTTGATAACAAGGAAAGTGCAACATTTGATCAGTCAAACGAAAATTAGCTGCCATTTTGAATTTGTAAAGCTAACCTTTCGAGTGTTTGCTTGTTTGTCAGAACAAAACTTTCATCGTCATAAACTTTATTTACCCTCCAATTTACAGAGTACCATTGCTGCTAACTTCTTCGAGCTACCTAAGAATTGGTCCTACGCTAAGGATGCCTAGCGTTATAGAGAATATTTTGTTTTCCTGTTTAATGCAGTTTAGTTTTCCCGATAAAGAAGAAACAATATTGAAATCTTGTGGCTCACTCTCCTGTCTCGCTGCACGAAGCGATTTAATGACAAAGTTTATTGGTTCCGTCCTTTCAAGTGTATTTGTTAAATATTAATCTGCGAACATCCAACCTCTTTTTTGTACTGGGTCGTTTGCACAGATACTTCATGTCGACGCGATGGACAGAACTGAGAGATGACGGAGTGGTCAAAAACTATTGCTTAATCATTCACGTGTTTAGTTGTTTTACCGTCTAGATGTGTAGCATTGAAACCAAACACACTCAGTGTAAAATTTTAAAATCCGAATGGATTTTAACTTATTTTATATATTTCCGATTCTTTCAGCGTTCCAGCTAATTTCCGTTCTTTGGTGTACTTTTACGGCATTAAAAATGGTGGTGTAAAGGAATGGGATTTTGCTTTTGAACAATTTCAGAAGACTACAATTGCTAGTGAGCGGAGAAAGATATTGTATGGTTTATCTGGTTCCAGTGAGCCTTGGATCTTAAGCAGGTACAAAACTGGGCTCAGTTTGGTATAATCCATTACTTAAGGCAATCTATATCTCAATGGAAACTATGAAAAAAGAATTAAAATCCGGCGATACAACACGAACTTTGCACGAACTAGATGTGATACGAAAAAGATAATGCCAATGTCTTTAACTATAGTGTAAAGTAAGTAGAACATACAAGAATGAAAAAAAAAGGTGATTGGTCTCAACTTTTTCATATCACATCTGGTTCACACAAAATTCATGTTTTATCGATTTCATTATTTTTTGGTGATATTCATCCTTCAAAAGCAGTTGGCTACAATACAAGTATTTTAAATATACTTTTATGAGTTAATGCTATTTTTAAATAATTGCTTTCCGTGGATATACGAAAACACATAGTAAAGTGCTTTTTGTCTTCAATTTTGTTAATTATTCCATTTCTTCTCAGAACGATTGTGTGGTGACATGCTACATTATAGAGAAAAGTACCCATCAGTATGATGGATATTTGAAGCACTGAATCTCGATTATTCTATTGAGCTTGTCAATTAAAGTTAATAATTTTGGTCATAGATACCTGCAATATTCCATTGACCCCGAAAAGATAAAGGCGCAAGACACTGCCAGAGTATTGACCAACGTGGCTAACTACAACCCCTACGGACGTCAGTTAACCTGGCAATTTCTCAAACTTAACTGGGACTTCATCAGGGAGAAGTAAGTCTTTCAAATCACTTTATAGTATATGTCAATATGTAATTCTGTTTACAATAACGATTGCGTATAATAGTGTAAAATAGAAACATAGGCTAAAGGAAGGAGAAATAAACATCTCGTTGACATTTTCACTCTTGAGCACGCGCTCCCTTTTTTTATTTGAAATTCACCTAGTGGAACCATTCTTTGCTTTCACGAACATAAACTTGTCGCAACTTTTTCTTCATTCAAGTCTTGCGTAACTGATTAAGGCTTGCGATTAGCAGAAACGTCATTGCAAGATGTACAAAAAAAGAATCAATGGCAGAGAGTCATGAGCAATCGTCAACATTGTCATCTCCCTACTAACCTAACCTAACCCCGTCCACAAACGCCGGAGAAATTTCAAAACGCAGCTTTATTTCTACGGTTAGGCCTACAGTCCACACTAATCCGTCACGAAAACGCACTTCAAACCGGAGGAATTTGAAAACGCCGGCTTTGCGTTTTAGTGACAGAAAACATCTTGAAAACGGAGCATTTCAAAACGACGAGGTCACGATAATCATGTGATTTCTCTGCCCCAGTTTTCCTCAAACACTATTCCAAAATGGCTGGTAATTGTTGCATTCTCAAACTTCTCCGGAATACTGTGGACGGGACCCTTGAAATATTTCCAAGTGGCATCTTGATTATGTTATCTACAATGATTTATAATAAAGTTTCCATATAACGCGCGCTCTGATTGGCTGAAACAGTGTGCTTTGTCAGAGAACAGAGCACGGGTTGATGACAGTAAGCTGGCTTTCAAATTTTTGCTTCGGAATTTTGACAAATTTGGCCCAAATTAAACATTCCCTGTGATGCAGACAAACGCAATGGAAACGAGCTCTATGTCTACAGTAAATATGGCTCACGGAGACTATTGTTAGCAACAGTA